CGAGCCCCCACATATGTATAAAAAGTAAAGTGAACTCTCTAGCATTCATTTTAAGCAAGAGCAAGTCTTAAGATGCCAAAGCCGAAACCCCCTAGCATGCATGAAAGACCAAATAGATTCCTCAATATCTCATGCTAAACGAAAGATAAACATAAAGTTTCATAATGCACCTCCAACATGCTTGCAAGAGGAGTATAAATTATTCCAAAGCCATGCTTCAATTATCCAAATCGTTGCCAACATAAACATGATATGATAAACAGAAAACATGCCATATATCCACCACTTTAAGCAAATATCCAAGTCCAATTTCTAACGCATGCTCACATTTCATCACCCACATGCGAATATCTCAAAAATATATGACAGTAAAGTAAACTAGCATGCTGTACCATCCAATCAGGGCCAAGTTCAAAGGCTCAGTAGAGAGGAAAACCGAAAGAAAATAAGGCACCGAAGAAAAGGGGGGAAGAAGAGGTACCTCCTTAATTCCAATGTTGTCGGCCGTTTTATCGTTCAGCTTAATTTTCGTAGTTTGAAAAGGTGATGATTTTGTGATTTTGAAAATAATTTAAATATAAATACAATCAACCCCCAAAAATTCCAAAAGGAACTAAGTTTATATGCAGAGAAGAGAGGAGAAGAGAAAGGGGATCACACCGACCACCCACGACACTCGAATTGGGCCAAAGAAAAAAAACGCATTCCCTCCTCACATAAGGCGAAGCAACCGAAACATCTTGGACCGAGCGGCGAGCCTAGTGGCAGCGAGGGAAGCATCGGGAAGAAGAGAAAATTTGTCATTCGAGTGTACCAGGGAGCAAGCTTCCCAGAGTCAAACTACCAAGAAAAGGAAAACCACACAATTTTGGCTTCAGAATCTTGAATTGTCCTGCCACTTGTTGGATAATAAGCTGTGAATCACCAAATATCTCAATGTCTGTTATTCCCATTGAAACTGCTAATTTCAATCCGGCGATTAAAGCTTCATACTCCGCCTCATTATTCGTGCAAGGCTCTGTTAAATGATAGGAGTACCTTAGTAACCCTCGATCCGGTGTTATGAATATTAGACCAACTCCTGCTTTGCCAGGTATCACTGTCCCTGAATCTTTATCTCTTTGTGATGACGAAGCTCCATCAAAATACATTCTCCAAATTCGAGAATTAGATGGTTGTATATTCATAATGTGCTCATCTGGTAGATCATCATTGAGAGGTGAATCAGGCCTAAAAGCAGGTCAGTCCAGTCTCCTTACTATACTGGGTTTCTGCCGACCCGGCTAGAAACTACCAAACCTCACATCGGGTATGACTGAAAATTTCATAAATATTCTTCCATTTAAAATGTAAAAAAAATAATAATAAAAATATTGGTAATAAATGATAATAATAATAATAATAATGATGATGATAATTATAATGATATTAATGTTACGTAAAATGACCATAAGGTAGAAAAGCAAAAGATGTCATTTAAGGCCACTGAAAATTTAGATAAGGTCTATCCTCCAATTTAGAGCCTTCTCTTCTCTCTTTTTTTCTAGATTCATTTTGCAGAGCTTACAACAAAAACAAGTGTCGAGATTTCAGAAATAATAAGAGATTTTATAATAAAACACACATGCATAAATAAAAAAACTGCAAATTACTTAGAGATATAAATTTTTGTTCAAGTGCATCTGCAAAAATATCAACTAAATAACTATAACTCAAATATACATAATTCAATTTAGTCAATTACAGCCATAGGCAAAAGAAGTGAGTTTAATCCAAAACTTTAGTTAATTCAAGATCATGGTGAGTTGCTATTCAGGCCGTCATGCCTAAAATGCAAGGCTTATACTTAAATGGCACCATAAATTTAGGGCAATAACACCCATGCTTGGCTGCTCCTAAACCTATGATGATAAATCCAAACCAATGTGATATATCCGACAATCAAAACGATCAAATCTTTTATTCATATTAAAGCTCAAAATAACTCATTGGAATAAATTAAAACATAGGCATTACAATAGATGCAAGCCTTACTTCAATCAGTGCAAAAACATCAAGCTCATCAAGCAAAATTAAACCTTAAAAGCTTATTGCCTAAAGGGCAAGGTTATATAACCCAACCTTTCAGACAACTCATACATCAAATAGCAAGCCTCGTCCTAATTAAATTTTGGGCATTCAATGAATATAAGATCCACGTTTTCTCAATTCATCCGCACAGCACAGACCATTAAGCTTTTTAAATTAAATTAAACTTTTGGGTCAGCTTAAAGTTTTCAAACCTATCAAATTAAATTAAAATTTTAGGCCACCTACCCTAGAAAGCAAAATAGTAAATTTCAACCTTTTAGGCATTCCAATAATCGTAGCCTCACTTCAACAAAATTCAAGAAATTCAATAGATGCAACTCCGCATTAACTCAACTCATCAAAACGGCACAAAGCCATCAAGCACATTGAAATAAAACTAAACTTCCAAATTGTCTTTCCTATAGGGCAAGATCATAAAACTGACCAATTAAAGCAACTTATAAATGGAATAGCAATCTCACTTAAATTCAATGAATATAAGCCTCAACCCAATCTATATGTCCTGGTGAATTTCAATGCTGACAAGCCCATTAAATCAATTAGAACTAAAAACCAACTAAAATTTATGTATATTCACCTTGATATACTAGGATACATTACAAGAGATAGCCCAACACTGCTAATCAAATTTCTTGGATGTAATGAATTTGGATCCACTGATGTTGGTATAGACTGAAACTACTAGTATTCCGAGGATGAAGAAACTATGAGCTCTCCATGTGGCCTCCTAACATTCATCATAAATTTAATTAAAGCTAAAATACTAAGCCTAAACATAAAATCGATAACAAGGAACTCGTATTTAATCAAGGGTATTCTCCCTAGATCAAGAAAGTTGATTAATTATGTGGGTTCCCATAGAAAATTTAGATGATATATCTAAAGAAACTTTGATCTTATATCAAGGGAAACCTAATTAAACTAAAATAAATTGATCTAATGAAGAAAACCATTGCCTTAGAAGACATCCACAATATCCTCAATGACCAAGCAAATTAGGCAATCAAACTCAGGTTCCCCACTCATCAAATTGTTTTTTGAATAAGCGTATAATGACCCCATATAAAAAAAATGCAAGTAGAAGAAAAGAAAATGTCAAAAAGAACAAACAAAAGTACTACCACCAGGAATTCAAAGTGCCCAGTGTTGAAAAAGTGGCCTGAGACTGATGGAAATTTCCTTAATAAATACGCAGATTTAATGTTTAATAACTTGTAAGAAAGTTGCATTGCATTGATATAACTATACCATTTCATAATGTATCGAAGCTATACTTGAATAAACATAAAAAAAAATAATTTTCAATTCATATACTTTCGCAGAAACAAAGCCGATCTATATGTATGCCCTGCTCGACCAGCCATGGAAAAAAGAAATGTTACCAGCCATCAATTTAAACACAAATTTAATTAAGGAACACTTCCGAGCAAAATTATTTACCAATTATCAATGATCAATGGAAAAGTCCTCCAACTTAAACTAACATAAAATGTCAATGTTCACATTTTAAGGGTTTGTTTGGTTCACTGAATTTCAATAAACTAAATGCAAGCATTTTTAAGATTTTGGTGTCTGGTTGGATAAAAATAGAATGTAATGTGAAATTCTGGTGACTTTAAATTCACACTGCAATTCAAAACTGATGTATTCTGAATTTGTTGTACTTGGGAAATTTTCAAATATACTAAAAATTGCAGCCCGCCAATCATCAGCCGTCGGCTTCTCACCTCCCAACACAGCTCGCAATCCTGTGGCGCTGCCCCACCAACTGGTCCTCATGCCAACCACTTCCCGTCACCGCTTGCCTCTACTATCAACTGTGCTCTGACCTCGATTTCATTTTCCTTCAAGCTAAATTAAAAAAATTAAATTCCTGCATTCATTTTGCAACGAACTGAAGAACTTCAAAATATTTAAAATGCATAACATTTCAATTACGCTGCATTCCAAACAGCCCCTTAGTTAATGACCTAAAAAAATCTATTAGCCCAACATTTGGAACCCTTGTCATTAGTTTGAAACATGAATATGGCTTTGGTGAGGAACAACTAAGGTAGCTCAATATAAGCAGCAATTCAAGGAATGCTGTTTTCTACGTTTCTTCACATGAAAGCTGGTAACTCTCACGTGTCAACAAAATCTTCTGTCGATTAGATCTTCCAGGAAAACAAGTAAATAACTTCTTTAGAATTTCTAACGTGCAAAGCATGAGCTTACCAGTTTTATAGCACGGTAAATCTGAAATTAAAAAAAAAAAGGCAGAGAACAGCAAAATATAATAAATATGTGAAATACGTTAAACAGACTCGCACCTCTGGAGCAAAACCTTCAATATGATCCTTCTCTTTTTGCAGAACATTCTCTGTTAATAATAGAGGAAAGCATGTACTTTCTACGTCCATATTCTTTATCTCTGCATCAAAAAATGCCTGAAAAATTTAAACCAAGGAATCAGTTAAAATCAAACAAATAATGATCTGTCCTTAAAAGAAGGGAAAAAAGGGATGGTGATAGTTATTAGAACCACACATAACCTTAATAAATAGAACCATTTTCAATGATTTTTAAAGCTTTAGAACCATAGATAAAACAGAGAGTCAGAGACAATGCATCTATAGTTCAAGTTAAATGCAAATAAATATAAAATGCATGATGATTACTAACCTGCAGCTAACAAAAAATATTTAAGAACAATACATCTACAATTTAAAAAATATGCGCAATAACTTGAGTAACAGATTAACTTTAAATTAAAAAACACAATCCAAAAATAACTAGAGCAAAAACTTACATGTAAGGTTTCCCAGATTGCCATCGTCCAAGGTCGTAAGATATAACAGCCAGATATATCATAGTATTCAATCATTTCACTATTAACAACAACAACCTAAAGTGCCAACAGCTAAAGTGCCAACGGACATAAAAGAATATTGCAATATTGTGAAATAAAATGAAAATCTTGAATCATCCATAATGCTAACCTCAGAGTACCATTGTCCAAAATTTTCATCCTTTTTATATGTTAAACCTAGTCCAGTTTCTTTCTTCACTTCCTTCTTCCTTGCTATAAAAAAGAAACCACCCAATTTAGAACAGCATAAGAACCCTGCAATATATACCAAGTAAAATATCTGAAAATCATACCATTCTTTGAGCTAGTTGTAGCCATCCTATGCTGACTTGTAACCCCTTTTTGAAATCTATAATCACAAATACATATAAAATTAAAAAGAAGAGAATGATATTCTTAACATTAATAAGCTTAGCATTCTATAACATCCCTTTCTCTTTCACCCTTCATCACATTAGCAAAGAATGAGAAGGCAGGATGCCAAAAGCATTAAAAGTGGGTGAATAAAGAGTTCATGGACCAGTTTCACATGTTTCAGCTATCACCCAAAGAACAAACAATTGCACTAAGCAGTATTGAAGCTACTTCAAGAGCTCAATTGGTTGCTTGAGGTAAGAATCCATATTTTGAAAGCAAAGAAGTTTGCTGAATATGGAATATAGATGGATGAAGTAATACAACAACATTAACTTTAAAAACTAAAAACCTTCTCAAATCTCCTCCAAAATTGGTGATTTCATTTTCACGCTTATAAAGAGCGAAAACAAATCATCATTTTCTAAAACATATTTTGTATTTACAAGAAACCAATTTAGGCCAAAGAAGGAAACTGAAGAAAGGAGGATTCAAAAAAGAAAATGCTAAAATTGCAATACAAAATGCATTGCACCCTCCCTCTGTTATTTAGTTTAAAGCGGATATAGAAAACAATAAGTAGGCATAAATACAGCAGCTGAACACTGTGGAGTTAGGTCTCAGTTATCTCCAATATGTCCAACTAATGGATGACCCGCTCAAAGAAGTCTGATACATCTTCCTCTATTAACCTTGAGATTAGGTTTTAGTTAATCTAATGGTAAACGACATTAGATTAGAACATCCATCACAAAACTTGGCACGAGCAAGTTCACATTGGGAGAGTAAACCAATGATAAAACCATATGGAAAGAAATTAGATCATTGAAATACATTAGCCAAATTTTTTATCAATATTTATCACAAAGGAGTTGAATTTACTTTGAGACTGTTGCAATATAACGCTTGATTGATTAGTTGTATATTCCAGCCCTCACAAATAAATCTATTGATCTCACTCAGATATAGCTAGATAACCCAGTTTTTTTTCCAGTCTTATAAGCCTTTCAGATCCAGCCAGACAGAAAATCAGGCCTCAAAGTTAATTAACCTTTCCAAAAAATTCAATGAAGAAACAAATACTAGATGCATAATGTTCTAACGGGCACTCTCTAATTCAGTGAAATAAATTGATCTTCCCTAATCCAATACAAGAGAACAGACTCCCAACCAGAAAAACTGAGCCAGCTCAAGCGAAGGCAATCGAGAATACAAAAAAGCTACAAATATGTCAATGAATGAGCTCAACAACATGGTGTGTCCATTGAAAGTATTAAAACAAAATAAAATGCTAGAAGCTAATGGTGCCAATATCAGGGCGAAGAGATCGATTGTCATTCGCCTACTCAGACCCAAACCCTTATTTCCATATCATCTTTACGCTTGAGAGAAGGAAAGCACGGCATTAGAGAGGTCCAGATGATCGGCATCCGCTGTAGGAGAATGATGAAAAAGAGAAAGAAGGAGGACGATACCAGTGGAACGCGGAATGCTAGGAAGTGAAGCTTGTGAAGCCGAAGTCTGTTCTTGAGGATCTAAGAAAAAAGAAAGAGGAGAGACTACAATAACACCGCGAGAATAAATATTAAGTCGGGAGTCCGGACTCACAGGGTTTGTTTGGGGCAGCTGCAGCTTATCCAGATCAGCAGCTGATCCGGATAAGCTGGTTGGCTATTTCGTTTGTGCGTCTTTAAAAGAGTTGATTTGCAGTTGTTTCTGGATAAGTGATTATTCCATCTCTGATATGGATAAGTTGTTTAGCTGTTTGGTTTGTACGTTTGAAAAATTGTTGATTTACAGCTTTTTATGTGGATAAACAACCATTCTGACACGCGCAGTTTTGCTTTTTGCACCAAAACTGTAACTACTACACATTTGACAGTTGTGAATAGAAAAAACCATCTCATAACAGTACAAAATTATGATGTACACTTCACTTAAAATTGAGTATCAAGATACATATTTAAAACAAAAATACATATCGAAATTACAATTAATAATAGGATTATAATATTAAATTTAAAATGTAAAAGAAGCATGTCATGACCGTTGTTGTCCGGTTGGTGTACGAGCGAAGCCCGAGCAACATTGTCCGGTTGCAAAATATTTGAACCACAATGTTGTGAAATTAGCGGAATAAAAACAGGAATCGACACAAAACCAGAAGAACACAGAGATTTAACGAGGTTCGGCAAAGAATTGCCTACGTCCTCGGGAGCGAGCGGTGGTTTCACTATCCCAGCTCAAGCGAAGGCAATCGAGAATACAAAAAAGCTACAAATATGTCAATAAATGAGCTCAACAACATGGTGTGTCCATTGAAAGTATTAAAACAAAATAAAATGCTAGAAGCTAATGGTGCCAATATCAGGGCGAAGAGATCGATTGTCATTCGCCTACTCAGACCCAAACCCTTATTTCCATATCATCTTTACGCTTGAGAGAAGGAAAGCACGGCATTAGAGAGGTCCAGATGATCGGCATCCGCTGTAGGAGAATGATGAAAAAGAGAAAGAAGGAGGACGATACCAGTGGAACGCGGAATGCTAGGAAGTGAAGCTTGTGAAGCCGAAGTCTGTTCTTGAGGATCTAAGAAAAAAGAAAGAGGAGCTACAATAACACCGCGAGAATAAATATTAAGTCGGGAGTCCGGACTCACAGGGATTGTTTGGGGCAGCTGCAGCTTATCCAGATCAGCAGCTGATCCGGATAAGCTGGTTGGCTATTTCGTTTGTGCGTCTTTAAAAGAGTTGATTTGCAGTTGTTTCTGGATAAGTGATTATTCCATCTCTGATATGGATAAGTTGTTTAGCTGTTTGGTTTGTACGTTTGAAAAACTGTTAATTTACAGTTTTTTATGTGGATAAACAACCATTCTGACACGCGCAGTTTTGCTTTTTGCACCAAAACTGTAACTACTACACATTTGACAGTTGTGAATAGAAAAAACCATCTCATAACAGTACAAAATTATGATGTACACTTCACTTAAAATTGAGTATCAAGATACATATTTAAAACAAAAATACATATCGAAATTACAATTAATAATAGGATTATAATATTAAATTTAAAATGTAAAAGAAGCATGTCATGACCGTTGTTGTCCGGTTGGTGTACGAGCGAAGCCCGAGCAACATTGTCCGGTTGCAAAATATTTGAACCACAATGTTGTGAAATTAGCGGAATAAAAACAGGAATCGATACAAAACCAGAAGAACACAGAGATTTAACGAGGTTCTACAAAGAATTGCCTACGTCCTCGGGAGCGAGCGGTGGTTTCGCTATCTCAGAGAAGTTACATACCCATAGGGTTACACATTTATTTATAGATAAAACCTACAGATAATTACAATCACGCCCTCGCTCCCCCCAACCCCCTTTATTTTCAAGAGACACTCCTTTTCACCAGGAGACACACCTCTTCACCAAAAAACTCCAACTCCCTAGATATGAGCCATATCTAACACACAAGTGACGTTCTCCGTTTGTGATACCGTCGAACCCCGTGCAACGTTGTACGGTTGGGATAACGTTGAATCTGACGGGTTGTCTGCCCACCTGAAGAAACTGCAGTCATCAGGTCCGTCAGCCCACCACAGGCACCTGTAGAACTGTCACCAGTAGCTATGTTATCGGCGTGAAGTGAGTAACAAGGATAGCAATCCGCAACGGCATAGCACTCGCCCGGACTTTCCTAAAAACCTATAGCTCATCTTACTACAATTATTTAAGAGAGAGTATAATAGTCAAGAAACTACATGAAATAAAAAAAAAAATTCAAATTGAAAACAGATAAATAAAATTTGGAAAACTCACAGAACAAATTCATATTCATTTTCATGTCCTCTCATTCATACTCTCCAAATAAAAAAAAAAAAACAGGTAAAGGTAAACAGCAAAGCTCGACATTAGCAAAGAGGACTCACTACATATGATTGAAAAGTTTCCAATGGGAAACAATTTACCAATTTGCCATATGCCAAACGAATATATGAAACGACATTACTAACTAATACTTCAAGCACGAGGTACTTAACAAGCTCTTCATTACAACCCTATCGCCCAAAACTTGTTTACAAGACACATAATTTTCTCTTTTCTATCATGTGAATGATCAAACTAACTATCATCCATATCCCTCGCACCTTTTACATTTCACTATCAATTATTATTTGATAATAATAATAATTGATAGTTAAATAATAAACCCTCTCTCTATAAGAAAATTATTCTAATACTTATTAATAATAATAATAATAATATCAAGTTAAAATAAATATCATTTCTACCCAAGTATGCCACAGAAAACAAAGGGGAAGAAGACTTCGGTGGTAGTAAAAAGGATGAAGTAGTTGGTGAAGAAGATAATGGTGGACAGAAAGAAGAGAAATTTTTTGAGGCGCTATCAAATGAAACTTTGAAATCTTTGATACGAACTGAAGCAAAAGGCAGCCCTAAGGACCGTAACTTCAGCAGCAATTTTATTTTGCTTCGTGTAGATTTGCTTGTTCATGACATATGAAAATTTGCTTGTCATTTGATTAATTTGAACATACCGATTAACTTTAGCTCCATTATTTCATTTATGTGATTTAATAGTGCCGAATTCTTCGCGTTTATTGTTGAATACTTGAATCAGATTCACTTAATATAGCGCAGGTGAGTCTTTTTTTTTTTTTAAGATTTACGTAAGTGCCACTCAATTCTTTTGTGTTTACATGTTTAACCCCTGAACTTCAATTTTTGCAATGCCACCTTTAGGTGTATCTCACTTTTTAAAAGTTAAAATGATTGTCTTTTTGTTGTGCTATGCAAAATTTGGGTGGTATAAATGCAAAAAATAAAATTTAGGTGCTAGATATATGAAGACATTGAAATCTTTGTTTGCCATAATCCAAATTTTCCGGTTCCATCGAACTTTACTATCTCGAATTTTGCTACAGACATTGTTATTTGAAATTTAATCCTGCACTGTATTTTTCTGTCTTGCTT